AAAAGGTCGTTGGTTGGTTGGTGGCTGAAGTTGAAGTCTACACATCTTAAACTTGCTGAGTAAAGCCTTGGTAGGACAACTTCATGCTACTGTAGTCGTGCAGTTCTAAGGTTGTGATGAAATATTAATACTTCCTAAAGTATTTAATCCAGATTAAAGGGGGAAATGACTCATGCAGACTGCCGCTTTTGGTGGCAAGAGATGCAAAGGCAAACCAGGTGAAGGATACACTAGGATCATGATGTCGAATCTATGCCACATGTGCCTCAGGTGGCACATGGAACCCTCTCTGCAGGCACGCGAGCTGTTACCCCAGCTCAGCTCCACCACAGTAGATCCTACAGTAGATAGCATTTTCCCTTAACAGCAACAGCAGCCTGTGCCACATACCTAGTTGTGGCTTAGGGTTCTTCTTGTCAAGCCATTCTTGATCATTTTGAAGCAATGTACTTAGCGCACCCCAATGTGATGTTCTTGTATCACTGGCAGTGGCACTCCTTAGTGATAAAGCATTCAAAATCCTCCATTGTAGGTGCCAGGGTTCTGAGTAAGGCACCCATTGAAAGCAGAACTCTGAGGCAGGTAGATTCCTCAAAGAACACGTTTATTGGATACATCATATCAACACAGCCAGTGAAAACCAACTCTTGACAGTTCCCGTCATTTTCAGCTAATTAAAACAGTAAAACTCCCCCCCCCCTTCCCGGGTGTCACCGATCACATGGTTCAATGAAGATGGATGACAGGCTCCCCTCCTCTTTCAACAGCCACCTGTTTCACTGACCTTGGTTCCCACAAGACATCTTTTTGTTTCGACTATAACTGGCTATCTACTTCCCCCTCTCTGGCTTCGTGGCAACTATGAGACAGTACAAGATGGTTTCAGTCAGGTTCACTTCAGAGTTGACAGAAGGTTGAGCACGCTACAGGAAAATGAGACCAATTGAACTCTTAATTCGGGGCACTTAATCCCATGTTGAGACCAGGCTGACCAGTGCTTGTCTAGTTCTGTCTCTTACCTACTGATTCTCCAAGACGGGGGCATGGAAACATCCCGTACCCCACATGGAGACACTCAAGTGGAGCAATTCACCTTTATGATCCGCCAACAGAAAAGGTGGAGAGCTGCTACCCCTTACTCTTCTTCAAACCTTTGGCTGCAGCCTGACCCTTATATCTAAACATATCCAAGGGTGAGGGGCAAGTATTGTTCCCAAGATACCTTCTCACCTGGGTCACCACCCTGAGCCAGTTATATAGGTAGTCCTCCTTAATATCCATTCACTGCGTTCCGTTACGATGGCATTGAGAAAACAGACTTACAAGCAGTAAGAACAACAGAAGGGACCTTGGAAGTCTTCTAGTCCAACTCTCCCCTCAAGTCCTATACCATTCCAGACAAATAGTTGTCCAATCTCTTTTTAAACACCTCTAATGATGAAGCACCCATAACTTCTGAAGGCAACTTCCGTTCCACTGGTTAATTGTTCTCAATGTCAAGAAATTACTTAATTCTAGGTTGTTTCTTTCCTTGATTTGTTTCCATCCATTACTTCTTGTCTTGCCTTCTGATGCTTTGAAAAATAGGTTGACCGCCTCTTTGGGGCAGCCTCACATATATTGGAAGGCTGCTATCATATCGCTCCTAGTTCTTTTCATTAACTTCTTGTTTTTAGTTGCAAAGTCGTGTCCGACCCATCGTGACCCCATTCACAACTTTCCTCCAGGCCTTCCTGTCCTCTACCATCCCCGAGCCCATTTAAGCTCACACCTACTGCTTCGGTGACTCCATCCAGCCACCTTCTTCTCTGCCGTCCCCTTCTTCTTTTGCCCTCAATCTTTCCCAGCATGAAGCTCTTCTCCAGTGAGTCCTTCCTTCTCATTAGCTGGCCAAAATATTTGAGTTTCATCTTCAGAATCTGGCCTTCTAAAGAGCAGTCAGGGTTGATCTCCTCTAGGACTGACCTGTTTGATCACCTTGCAGTCCAAGGGACCCTCAGGAGTTTTCTTCAACACCACAGTTCAAAGGCCTCAATTCTTCGGCGCTCAGCCTTTCTTATGGTCCAACTTTTACAGCCCCACATTGCAACTGGGAAAACCATAGCCATACTAACTAGACATACCTAATTCCTGCAACTGTTCTTCGTACGTTTAAGCCTCCAGCCCCCTAATCTTGGTTGCTCTTCTCTGCCCTCTTTCTAGAGTCTCGACATCTTTTTTATATCGTGGCGACAAAAACTGCATGCAGTATTCCAAGTGTGGTCTTACTAAGGCTTAAGATCCCACTTGGAATACTGCATCCAGTTTTGGATGTCCTCAAACCCAGCAACCCGTCCCATCCAGCCATGGTCTCAGCTGAACTTTGCAACTGTTAGCAAACCTTGATTACTGGACTGATTATATGTTACTGGACTATGTTATTTGGATTATCCC